ATGGGGCTGTGGGGTGGAGTGAGGGGCTGTGGGATGGATGGAGGGGCTGCGGGATGGATGGAGGGGCTGTGGGATGGATGGAGGGGCTGCAGGATGGATGGAGGGGCTGCGGGATGGATGGAGGGGCTGCGGGATGGATGGAGGGACCAGGACACAGGATGATGGGGCTGTAGGATGGATGGAGGGGCTGTGGGATGGATGGAGGGGCTGCGGGATGGATGGAGGGGCTGTGGGACAGAGGAGCTGACAGCACAGGGCACAAGGGCCAAGGCCGAGGGCTGGGAACTGTGGCTAGTAGGCTCAGAACTTTGTTATTTAACTTCTGGGATGAGGAGGCTGGGCACACAGGTCACAGGGATAAGTGGGCAGTGGACTTGGCACAGTACCAGGAGAAGACAGGCCAGTCGACTAAGCACTTCCCAAGGACAGCTGAGGGGAGGTGTAGTCCCAAGAAAAATACACAGCGCTGCCAGGTAGCTGCAGGGACCTGCCATGCTTACAGAAGGTATGTGGGACATCCAGGCCAACGTCTTTACTCTCAACAAGCCATATGCACGGATCCCCTGGCCACCTCACAGGAGTAACAGCCAGAAGTCAGCAAAGTTGCTCTCTGCTGCAAGGACCCACCCTGCATTCTTCCTGCCTCAGCTCCCCAAATGCAGATGAAGTACAGGATCCATGCATCTTCTCCTGTGTGACTGCTGGAAGCCACCAGAGTGAAGGGAATTGCTGGGCAAGCCCCTGACCATGAAGGCCTAGGCAACACTCTTGTCAGTTAAAGGAGGAAATAAAAGACACAGGAACAAGGGTCATGGCCCACGAAACACACTGGTCACTCCCCAGAGATGCTCAGCTGCAACATCTGTGAGCAGGCACAGAGTGGGTGTCTGGGGGACTCTTGGGAGGCTGAGGCAGGAGGCAGGACAGGATTAAAGTGTGAGTATGACATGATCTCTGACTGAGCTGTGGTTCAGCAGCTGTCACAGTTGAGATCACAGCCTCTGACAAGGTGGGGAACAACTACAAATGCTGCTCCAGGTGTTTCTGCAACGTGTAGGACCACTCTCACTGCAGCTACAGATGGAAGGTGGGGCAGCCACTGGGAATGCCAGGTAGCTCTGAAGGCCTGTCTCAGTCACTGTTCTATACTGTGACCATGGTAACTGATAAAGAAAAGCATTTAACTGAGGGCTGACAGTTTCGGAGGCTTAGTCCATCATCATCATAGTGGGGAGCATGGTAGCAGGCAGACAAGCATGGTTCCGAAGTAGTAGCTGAGAGCTTTACATCCTGACCCTCAAGCAGCAGGCAGAGACACTGAGTCTGATATGAGTTTCTGAAACCTCAGAGCCACCCCAGTGACAAACCTTCAACAAGTCCACAACTCCTAATCCCACCTATTCAAATATATGAACCTATTGGGAGCTATTCTTATCCAAACTACCACAGCCCAAAGCCACTGTCACCACAAACCTGAATCCAATATAGGTCCAAGGAGTGACTTCATGTCCCATACAGCAGCCAACATTGGCAAGATACACAATGGGTAAAGAGTGGCTCAGTCATATACTGAAAACACCAGGCAGCCCTGAACAAGAATCAGACTCAGACACACACAGCGTGAAGGGACCTGAAGATCAGCTTCAGTGAGAGACCCAGAAACAAAATGTCACTCATGCTGGCTAATTTTATATCAACTTGACACAAGCTAGAGTCACTTGAGAGGAGGGAGCCTCAATAAAGGAAATGTCTCCATAAGATCTAGCTGCAGGCAGGCAAGCCTGTAGAGAATTTTCTTGATTAGTGATCGATGGGTGAGGGCACAACCACTGTGGGCCAGGAAGTGGATTTGTGGGTGCTAGAGGCTAGGGAGAGAGGGCTTCCTTTTGGGGTGATGGGATTTCTGGACCTCAACAGTGGTGATGGCTATACTACTCTGAATATACTGCAAATGACTGAGCTGTCCACTCTTGGCAGTGGGCCCAGGTGGATGCTCCTCACAGAGGAGCTGCAGGACCTGCCAAGCCCTGTCTGTCCCAAGCACCATCACTGGGCAAGGCCTCACTGTGGAGTCCTTAGTTTCCTTCTGGGGAGCTCTGAGGAAAGCATGGCTCAGCATGCACTCTCCACTCCCTGTGTGCTCACCTTGGCTCAGAGCACCTAGGTTGAGGGCAAAGGCTGCCTGGAACACAGCTGAGCTTGAACACAGCTAAGTGTTTCAGGAGGTTAGGACAGAATGACTTCCAAGCCTGGTCACCACCTGTCTATCACCTCTTGCCCACCAATGTTCCACAATGCCTGTGTGGACAGTGGCTCTGGCCATTTTGAGCCCCACAGATAGTAATCTCTGGTACAAGGTTCCACTGTTCCAGCTGTAAACTAATAAAAGTTTTACAAGACAGACAGGGACCCCAGGACCCTGCCCCTGCTGCAGCCTGGCCCTTCTCAGCTGTGGTGTCCCTGTGAACAGCAAGAGGAAAGGCTTCATCAGTTCTAGTATGCAGTGGCCCGCCCAACTCAGAGGCCCTGCAAAATCACCTTGCTGGGACTCATCCCTGAACTAAGAGGTGGCAATTAACCCAATCTCCATCGCCAACATGAAGCCCAACCTGAAACCCCCAGCGTTTACCGCAATTCAATGACCCCATCCTGGCCTTTCTCAGCCTTGGCCCCTTCCTGGGGAGCTCTGGGCCACTGCAGATGCTCCTGTATTAGGCCTGTCCAAGTTGCAGTGTGATGTAGTGGTTGTGCCAAATTCTGCTCACAGGGTCCTGGATTGTGTCCCTAGCCCCTGCACACAGGGACCTGAGGTACAAGAGGGTGACAGTATTGAAGTTCACTGAACTTGCAGGGAATCTGAGAACAATAACATCCCATGTTAGGCAGGGACTCTGAAGGCCACCACAGAAACATGTCAAGGACCAAACGGCACAGTTAATCTGACTCACACTTCACAAGTGGGTTGGAGTGAGGCCTGTGCCCTGGGTTTACTAAAGTCCCAGAAACACATGCACACACATGTGTGTGAACACATACTACCCCATAAATAGGCTCTTTCATTTATAAAACATTTTTGAAATTATGTATGTACACATGTCTGTGTGTACATGTGAACAGCACCAATGCCCTGCAGTGAGGTGAAAGCTGTGTGTGCACACGAGTACAGGTGCCTGCTGCCCGAAGGCTGGATCTCTTAAACTGGAGCCACAGACAGTTGTAGGTTCCTGACATGGGAGCTGGGACCTGAAGCCCAGTCCTCTGGAAGAGCAGACAAGACACTGCTCTTAACCACTGAACCATCCCTTACCTCCAGATCCACACAAGTTTCATTACTGTTTTGGTGTTTTTTTGTTTTGGTTTGGTTTTCCCTTTTCAAGATGGGGGCTTACTATGTAGCCCTGGCTCTCCTGGAACTTACTATGTAGCCCAGGCTGGCCTCAAATTCAGAGATCCACCTGCTTCTGCCTCCCAAGTGCTGGGATTAAAGGCGTGTGCCACCATCCCTAGCTTACATCCACTGTTTTGAAGGTGTTTTATTAAAAGTTGCCTCCTACTGCTGGAGACCCTAGCCCCATTCCTAATCCCAACTTCCGGCTGTGGATGGATGAAGGGAACAGGCCCCACATCCCCAAAGATCCACAAAAGGTGTTCCAGAGACCAACCCGCACAGGATCTCCAGGTCCTACCACAGTCAGCAGTGCTAAGAGAAGCCTGAGTCACTGCTGGACAGGTGCACAGACTCCACCCACAAGCCACCAGGTCTCAGCACCACCCAATCTTGGGACCCATGGACCCACATTTAGGCCGCCATCTGGGGCCTGGCTGCTGTACTTACCTGGAGGTTCCAGGAGGTTCCAGGGGGCTGACTTGGTGACAAATAACCCCGGGCTCAAGAAAGCAATCAGGGTTACTTTCTGTCAGGCACCTCCAGCGATAGCCAACGTCCTGCAAGGTACAGATGAAAGTTAATGACTGAATTGCACGGCTGCAGTTCCTGCCTGTCCCATCCTTCCAGTACTACCTCTGTCAGGGACACTGGCCTGACACAGTGTCCAGCCCTTATCACTTCTCAACAACATGCAGGCTGTCCCCAGATCTGTGCTGGCCCAACTGTGAGCTAGTGCAGTAAGAGCCCGGAGCAGTTAAGTGACAGCAGAGAAGCTTCTAGAAGCCAGAAGCCACAAACAGCTACTAACTTTCAAGTTGAGTCAAGTGTGATGCCTGCCACCCAGCACTTGGGAGGTGGAGGAAGGATGGCAGGGATCTGAAGCCAGCCTCAGCCACACCAAGTCTGAGGCCAGCCTGGGTTATTTAACACTCGGTCTTAAAAAGCAGAAAGTGCCTGGCTCCTTCCAAAGCCCCTGGCCTCTAGAGGGAGGTAATGGGTCCCTGCCAGTGAGCCACCTTCTAGTGCAGTGACTCAAATGATCTGGGCTTGCTAATGGGAAGTCCCACCACAGTGTGGCACTGAGACCTTGTGATGGAAGCCTGTGGTTGAGGCTACCAACCTGTGACCTCTGTGGCCCCCACCTGTGCTTCTTACTGCAATGTCCTGGGCTCCAGCTGCCTTTACTACTGCCTATGTGTCCAGTCCTGGCTAACCATGGCCCTAAGGGAAGCTCCCCTAAACAAACAGTGTGAAGCTGACAACTTCTCTCCCAGCACCCACAGCCACACCATGCCCCACACCACTGTCACCATGCATCTTCAGGAGACCCTAGGCCAGTCTTTCCAGGTCCAGCACCAGCAAGGACCACCTCCTTCTCTGCTGTATGGAGAATGCCCCACCACCCCTCGGACTCCTGTCCTCACCCCTGTCCAGTGCAAAGTCACCATTTCCCCACCCCACCCCGGCCACTCTGCTTCTGGGCCTGCTGGATACCAAGCTTCCCAGCACCAATTCACAATCTTCTGTCTGAAAGAACAGAGCTACCAACAGAGGGACTGGAAAGATCACTCAGTGGGGGAAGAGTGCTTACTGAGCAATAATACATGAATTTGAGCTTGAATCCCAGCAACCAGGTAAGGAGCAGCACTCATTTGTGATGCTGGGAGTGGGGGTGTGTTGTGGAGACAGGAACTCGCTGGCCACCAGCACAGCAGATTATGATGAGCGCCAGGCTGAGACCCCAGGGAAGGTTCTAAGGGGCTCTCTGAACAAGGTGGAGAAGGTCATTCAACCTGAGCATCAGACAGAACCAGATGGCTCAGGGTGGCAAAGCTCTAAGAATTGAACAAAAAAGGCTGGGAGTAACTTGGGGGCCCTGGGTTCCAGTCCCTGCACCACTAGCCCTGGTCAAGGGCATTCGAGAGCTACCAGAGTTGATGTTCCTGTGGAAGGTCTGTGCTAAGGCGAGACCCAGTAACAGGGAGGGAGTGATTTTGTTCAAGCAAAGGTCCTACACACCACACACAAAGTTAATTCTAAATGGGTCCAGACCAAATTTTAAAAACAAACATCAGGTTTTTTTTTTCTTCTTTTTTTTTTATTTTTTTATTTTTCAAGACAGGGTATCTCTGTGTAGCCCTGACTGTCCTGGAACTCATTCTGTAGACCAGGCTGGCCTCAAACTCACAGATATCTGCCTGACTCTGCCTCCCAAGTGCTAGGATTAAAGGCATGCACCACCACTGCCTGGCTAAACATCAAATTCTTAGAATACAGATATTTCTGGCTTTGAACCAGGTGACTTTTAGACAAGATGTAAGAGAAAACACACACTGGGCTCTAAACTCAAACGCTGCCACGATGAAAGGGAGAGACAGTCTGGGAAATATCTGAGAGCCACAGGTCTAAGAAGATCAGAACATATAGTCTTCACCACTCAACAAGAAGACAAAGGACCAGTATCCAGAATATACAAAGAGCTCGACATTTGTGCTAGCTAGTTTCATGTCAACTTGACGTAAGCTAACGGCATCAATTGAAGAAATACCTCGGTGACATCCAGCTGTAAGGCATTTTGTCACTCAGTGATCAATAGGGGAGGGTCTAGTTAGGTAGAGAGATGGCTCAGTGGTTAAGAGAACTAGCCATTCTGGCAGAGGATCCCTGTCTAATTCCCAGCACCCCCTCGGCAGCTCACAACTATCTGAAACTTCAGTTCCCGGGGATCTGATGCCCTCCTCTGGCCTCCGGGGACCCCAGACACACACATATACACAGACATAACATTCAGGCAAAACACCCGTATGTAAGCAATACATAGTGGTAATACAATTACTAAATCAATAAAATAAAAATTAAAGAGTAAGCCTAATAAAGCCATTGGTTGGGGGGGGGGGGGTTCTGGTTTGTCGCTTGGCCTAACTGTGAAGGGCAGATATTGCTGATGGGGGAAGTACTTCTGTGTATGTTTATCTTTTTCATTGTTAAATAAAATACAGTCTTCCCAATGATACAGCAAGTAGACGGGACTAGGAGTCAAAGAGGATTCTGGGAAATGTAGTAGAGAAGTGCTGATCCAGGCAGGAAGTGACATAGCAAGGAGACTCATATTTAAGTGAAGGAGAAACAGGAAGGGCCCTCTTTTCCCCTCCGCTCCTGCTCCAGCCGCACAATGTGATCCACCGACAAGGAGGGACGCCAATAAAGCATCCAATAAGATAAGTCTTATAAAATATATAGGTTTATGATAGTTAAGACTGAGCTAACAAATGAGAAGTCCTAGTCATTGGCCAAGCAGTATTGTACCTAATACAAGTCTCTGTACATTTATTGGGGCCCTAACTCCGGCAGGCGGCTGGCGTATAGCGCACACGTGGAGGTGGGGCTCAGCAGCTTTTGGCAGAAAGATTTATCGTAACACATTGCCTAGTGTCCCCAGAGAGAAATCTTCCCAGCATTTCTGCAGCTGGGATTCTATCACAGCATGGAGGCCCTGACTCTACCCATTAGGGTGCTCACATCTGCTCAATTCAAGACAGTCACTGGAGAGACAAAGCCACTCAGCAGGTAGCAGCCAGTCATGACAAGAGTCCAGGAGCCCACAACTCCCTGACTCCAAACTCCTTCCTAGCTAAAGTCCCCAAGATGGCAACATGCAGAGAGAGGTTCCCTGAATGGCTGGAGACAGACTTTGCAACCCACAGTGAGTTTTGGGTGCATCAGGCGAGGCTGTCTGTCCCCAGTATCCTTGGGATGTCACTAAAGTCAGGACACAATCCTGGAGCTCTCCATGGAGCCCTGGCTGAAGTGATCACACAGATCCCAGCCAAAGGGCTCAAGGAACTCCTCTGCAGCCTTCCTTCCAAGCACCCACTCTCCATCAGGACAGTCAACACAGAGATGACCAGGGACAGGCCACACAGGCTTGCCAATGCCCACCAGTGAGATGTGACAAAGAACCTAGGCATCCAGCACCCGTCCCCAAGTCAGCAGGAGTGGGAAAGGGTTGGCACAGCAGGAAGACACATAGGCTGGACCAGGGCATGGTGGGGGGGGATACAGAGACTAGCTCAGGGCATTGTGGGGATGTTGTCCAGGAGACAAGGCAGGGTGGGCCCACAGTGCCAGGACAATAGGAGAAGGCTGCACTCTGCACCTTGCCACAGGGAGTAGGACCCTTGACCACATCATTCCAATCTGTCATCACTGGAGACGGAACTCAAATGTGCCTGGAGACCCAGGACACGGGCAGAACCTGGCAGGTGGACAGTGAGAACTCCCAGAGCCCCAAGGTCCAGGGCTTAAAGCCAAGGGAGGATAAATGTGAGGCTAGAGCCTCAGACAACAGGATGGACACAGATGGCAGGAACAACCGGGCCATTGGCTTCTCCCAAGGTAAGGCCCTGGCACAGAGTGATGCCCAGGATCCTCTCACCTTCCCCAGGAAGAACTCAAGAATACAGACCCAAGGCCCTGGGTCCCCAACAGCACACTCACCATTTTCTAGAAGGACACAAGCTGTCCGTCCATCCATAGCCCCACCCCCCCTCGGAATCTGATGTTGCTATTGTAGTCTAACCCATAATAATCACAAGAGTCACACAGAGGCCTGAGAAGACTGGCAATCAGGCAGACCGTGGGGACAGAGGTCTTGGTGAAGTAAGTAAAAGGCAGGCTGCTGCAAGAGCAAATGGGCAAATGTCTTAAATTATGTTTATTACATTTGTAATTTTCCTTTCCTTTGGCTGTTTTTTGGGGGACCTTGGAGGGGAGGGTTGAGACAGGTTTTCTCTGTGTAACAGTTCTGTCTGTCCTGGAACTCACTCTGTAGACAAGACTAGCCTGGAACTCACAGAGAACTGCCTGCCTCTACCTCCCGAGTGGTGGGATTAAATATGTGCACCAACACCGCCCAGCTCATTTGTTTATCTTAAATTTGAGTGCACGGGCATTGGTAGAGTGTGGAGATCAGAGAACAACCTACAGAAGATGGTTCCTGCCATCACAGAGTAAAGCTTGGCAGCAGCCACCCCACCCACTGAGCCCTCTTGCCAGACCGGAACTGCCTTTTCTCTTTAAGTCAATCATACTGGTCCCCAGAATTTTGTTACAGCAACAGAAGAAGATGGTAAGAGGAATGGGGTATAGCTCAGAATGATGCATGCCTGTCATCCCCATTCTCAAGGGCTGAGGCAGGGAATTTAAGAGTTTGAGGCCAGCTGGGGCTCACAACCAGACCCTGTCTCAAAAAAACAGCAAAAATCTAATTTTAAAGTTTTTAAAACTGCCAAACATGGCATACACCTTTAATCCCAGGACCCAGGAGACAAATGCAGATGGAGCTCTGTGAGTTCAAGACCCTGTCTTTAAAAAAAAAAAAAAAAAAAAGGAAGGAAGGAAGGAAGGAAGGAAGAGATGGCTCAGCACACTGGCTGCTCTTCCCAATGTGTCTTCGGTCCCCAGCACCCATATCAGATGTCTCTCAATCACCTGTAGATCCAGTTCCAGGGGACCTGTCACACTCTCTGGTCTCCATGGACAATGTACTCACACATAC